CAATGTTCTATATCTTAGGGAAATGCTTACGTTGATACATACATTTGACAAAACTCATTGCACTATATATTCCATATGTGTTCATATTATCATATGCAGATTATGCCTTAACATGGAAAAATCAATTCTAAGTGGCTTATATATTGAAAGGTCAAACAATAAACTCCTTAAAGATAATATGGAAAATATTCTCATGACCTTGGGTATGTAACATTTTTAGAATGGAATACAAAATGCATTAACCAGAAAATAAAAGATTGGTAAGTTGAAGTGCATTAAAACCTGGAATTTCTTGTCTTCAAAAGACAGTACAGTTGACTCTTGAACAACACGTGTTTGAACTGTGTGGGTCTGCTTATATGTGGATTTTTTTCAACCAAATGTGGATTTCATAGTACAGTATTCCCAGGATGTAAAACCATGTATACAGAGGGCTGACTTTTCATATAGGTGGGTTCAGCAGGGCTGACTGTGGGATTTGAGTATGCATGGATTTTGGTATATGTGGAAGTCCTGGAACCAATCCCCCATGTGTTCCAAGGGACAACTGTACTAAGAGTGAAAAATGCACGCTACTGTATAAGTGTACATATACATACACACATATACATATAAGATATACATACATGTAGTTATATATTTGTATGTATATGTTTTTTCCTGACAATTGCCTCATATCCAAAAAACATAAGTAACTTTTATGAATTACTGGAGAAAAAACCCCAAACATCTAAAAGAAAAAAGGGCAAAGATGTGAATAGACACTAAATAAAATGGGATTTTCAAATAATAAATATATGAAAAGCTGTTCTACATCTTTAGTCATTAGAGAAATGCAAATTAAAATCATAATGAAGTATCAATATATACCCACTGGAATGGCTAAAATAGACAAATGAGTGTTAGCAAGGCTAGAAGCAACTGTCACTTTCCTACACTGGGGAGGTGGAAGTGTAATTTGTACAACCAATTTGGAAAACTGGCTGCTTGACCACAGCTTAATGACTCAGCCGCTTCTCTTCTAGGATATACTCCACAGAACAACAGAATGTATACATGCATACATATTGAAGAATATTTTAAGCACCCTACTTATAAATAGCCCCAAATTAGAAACTACTCAAATATTCATCAACAATAGAATGTTTAAATTGTTTTATAGTCAAACAATAGAATAAAATAAGAAGTAATAAACTACTGTGTGTACCTACATGGATGAATACCACAAATAGAATGTTGAGTGAAGGAAGACAAAGTCATATTAAGACTCCATTTATATAAAATTCAGAAATAGGTAATGTGATTTTATGGTGTTAAAAGCCAGGATCATGGTTACTTTTGGGTGAGGAGTAAGCACATGGGGTATTGGTAATAAACTGTTTCTTGATCTTGGTGGTGGTTAACAGATATGCTTATTTTGTATAATTTTATCATGCTTTACATTTATGATTTGTGTACTTTTCTGTGTGTATATTATACTTTGATTTTAAAGTTTATTTTTAAAAATTAATGAGGGCAAAGTAAAGAGATTTTCAGGAAAAAAATTGCTTAGTATTCTTGGTAGCGTGAGTATGAGATTAATGTACAGTAGTCAGTAGCTTTTGTCTAGTAATGAGCTTCTGAAAATGGAAGCAGTAAAAATGATTTCATTTACAGTAATGGGCAGCTTCAGTCTATCTCCTAGTTTAGGTTCCTACTGCTTGCCTCTTGCTTTTAGCTCTAGGGCTTCTCAGTTGTCCTTGCTGCAGTACCTACCATGGGAACTTAGGTTGTACGGGCTGGTGTCTGGGGTATTTAACACTCTGTGAGGCACACTTTGGTCAATGGAATGTGGGAGCCAATAAGTGTATATGCTTCCCTTTTTCTCACCTCAGCCTGACAGTCTTGAGATGCATTTCATAGTTTCTCATATTGTCCCTGTAGCCAGCTGTTGTAGCACTTTGTTGTGGCTCTGTCTTTCTCTGTTATGCTACTCTGTCCTTAACTCCTGCTCCCTGAAAAAGTGTTGCATAAGCTGCCTTCTCAGACTGCTCAGGCACCCACAACTAAGAATTATCTAGCCTAACATGTCAGTTGTGCTGAGTCTGAGAAACCTGGTGTCTGAAGCCAAAGGTTTGCTTTAAAATCCAGGCTCTTCCATATTCTGTCTCTATGACTTTGGGAAATAACCACTGAGTCTTAATTTTTGTTGTCTATAAAATGACAATAATAAATAGATATAAACAAAATCTGTAACAAGTGAGATAAGCTTTATAAACTTAATGCCTGGAACAGATGAGTTCAGTAAAGAACAGCTATTGATATTTTTAAATTTATAATGCTGCTTTCTGACCCTCCCCTTTTCTTTTTCAGTATAAAACTCTCCTAGTAGACCAAGTTCTCAAATCCTTATAAATAACCCCCAAAAAGGACAGCTCCTCCCTGCAAAAAAAAATGTACAGAACTCCGTATAGAGAGAACACCAGCACGATTCACATGAAGATTTAAATGGATATGTGAATTTTTTATTTTTGTAACGTTTTAGCTTTGTTAAAATTATGGGCTATTGGCAGTGACTCAACGTTGCAATGAAAAGGTTGTTTTGCCAGCAACACAAGTCTCCTGTCAAAAACTTTAAGAGAGGCAATAAAAATTATAGGAGGCAGAAGGATAAATTCTAAAACACTAGAAAAAACAGAGAACATAGTGTGTAAACACCATTAAGGATTAAACAAAATAACACTAAAATATATAAAATGGGAAATTTAGTATTTAGTTTTTTAAAAATAGCAACATTTGTTTATCTGTATATTCGAGGGTGCTATCTTGTGCATTTTGGATGCTTAGCAGCAATCTCTGGCCTTTATCCACTGGATACCAGTAATACACACTCCACTTTCCCAGTTGTGACAACCAAAAGTGTCTCCATATGTTGCCACATGTTCCCTAGAGTGGGGGCACAATAATTCTTGTTTGAGAACTGCTCAGATAGACCTAGATTTGCATTCCAGCCCCAGGGCCTATCGCTGTGTAAACTTGAACAAGCTACCTAACTCATAAGCCTTAGTTTTGAGATAATGTATATATAGTGCTAGCTCAGCCCCTGACACATAGAGTTCAGTAAATGATAATTATTAGTGATGCTAAAACCTGTTCTCTTTCTTTGCCACTCTGTCCCTCTATCCTCTAAAAGTAAAATGCCCCTTTGTGTAGCTTATGGTCAAGTTGTTGAACAATAATTTCTCATCTATGATCTTCAAAATACATTGATTGTCTTATGTTAACAATTAGCATAGACTTTAGTTTTGTTCTCTCCCCAGCTAAGGATTTGCTTTCCTTTCCCTTGTGTTCTTGTTTGCATTGGGCAGAGTTGGTAGTATATTCTTTCATTTGAATCTCTTCCTGGCATAGTATTGTATGTGGTGCTCTTTGCATATTCATAACCTCATGAATTATTAGACTAACATCTTAAAGACTAGTTCAGGCTGACAAGAATCAGACCTATAGAAATCGAAAAGCTAAGACTAAGGCTTTATTGTTGTTTATTATTGTAGTTTTTTTTTTTTTAAACCTTGAAGCCATAGCCTATCAAGAATTTTCTTACTCTTTAGCTTTATTTTTTTCCCAGAAGAATGATTAAAAATATTAGTAGCCTATACTTGCTTTGATATGCATTATCTTGTTTACATTTTGTTAAAACCCTAGGCAGTGAAAAGTGAATAACAGTATTAATAGAAAGAGAGGTCTTGACTCTGTTTGCACAGAGCCCGGGCGGCAGCCACTGTGGGGTTGGCGGGGAGACTCCTGGTCCTGGCCAGCATGGCGGGGGGCACCACTACGCCAGGCAACAAACCACACAATCCCCTGTTCGATTATAAAGGGCGAGCATAGTTTTGCCAGTAGGGACTAGGTAGTGGTCTCAGCAAGAGGCATAGTGTCAGTCACTTTTCCCGAACTCTGATCAGGAAAGGAACACCCGCCAATCTCCCCAGAAGTCCTTTAGAAGCTCTCTTCTTTCCGAAGAGGACTCTGGGAGTGTGGCTCCACCTCATCTCCTAGAGGAAGGTCCTCCCAGCCCTCACCTCACCTGCGGAGCAGAGGAGCTGCGGCTCATTCCATTCACCTGTTTAACACAAAGGAGTGGAGGGGCTAGGCGCTCAGGCAAGGCTGTGGGTCCAGGGGTACTGAGCAAGACAGGCAGGGGCTCTGCTCTCAACTTACAAGGGAGGAGGGGAGGGGAGACAAACAGGTAAAATAATAATAAACGCGGTAACTTCAAAAAAAAAAAAAGAAAGAGGTCTTGATGTACTATAAGTGCACGGCAAGATATTGTGTTAAAGAATTATGTCATATTGTTATCTCATTTATGCCTTATAGCAATGTCTGCAAAATAAGTAGCATTATCTCCATTTTAGAGACAAGCAAATGATGGTTCCTGTGCCCAAGATCACCTAAGTTTTTATTCCAAAGCCAATCTATTTTCATAATGCTATGTTTCCTCCCCAAAATAAAGAGCATATGCCTTTGCCTTAAATTTCTTTGTAGACTATCCTGTGACCACAAGATGAGAGCATAAAAATGTAGGACGTTGTGACTGTGATAAGTCATTCTTTCTGTTCCAGTGGCCTAGCTCAGCTTCTCTGGCTCTCTGTGGCCAACTCTTCTCTTCTGGTCCAATGCAGTTACATCTGGCTATGGGAATAAGGAAAGTTTGGAGGTTCAGGCTTTTTTGGCTACGTGAATAAACATTATTTTTTGGTTATGTGTATTATCTTAGCTTTTATGGTTTCATATTGCCGAAGAATGCAGAGCAGTTAAATCTTAAGCCATGAAGTATATGTTTGGCAAGAGCCAAGTAAAAGCAGATTTACTTAAAAGTCAAGAGGGCTCTATATCTGATAAGAAAAATAGTCTCAAAACTGCCATGTGATCTGTTGTTCTAATAGACTACAGAGTAAAAGATGTTTTTAAATATACAGTTGCCTAAAACTCTACTGTCTCTGTGTAATATGTATTTTTAGCTGAGAGAAGAAAAGTTACAAGAGGAAAAAACCTCTGAAGATCAAATCCACAAGCCGTTACCAGAGGATACAGAAACAGGGAAAAGGAAAATGGATGAACAGAAAAAAAGAGAGGAGCCATTAGTACTGAAAACAAATCTGGAATGTGTAAGTAAATCACCTTTTTGGTGGACATCTGCCTCAATAAATCAGCAATTAACCCAGGTGACATGGATCCAAAAGTCCTAAGTTGATGAACTATGAGACCAGTAACAGTCGTTTACTGGGCACCTTAAGAGTAGTGAAGAACTTAGCATCCATATGAGAGCCGGAGAAAATAATTTTTGAATGGGGCAATGAGATCTGTGGAAAGATTAAGGGAACAGGGGGGAAAAAGGTGAGCGAGAGGGAAAACCTAGTGTAGTATACTATTTGTGGTAAGTTTTATACATGTATTGTCACTTTGACTTATGTGTTGTTATTTGACATTTAAGTTTTGTATGTCTTCTATCCTCAATTAGATTTCCTTGGAGCTTGTATTTTACTTGCCTTTATTCTTTCTAATGCCCTAAGCAGCACAGCGCTGTATGTATGGTAGGTTTCAATACTTAAGTCTAAACTTAACTTAATTAGACTTCTAATGGGGCCAAATCTTGCCTGAAGTTTTTCATTATTTATTTACCAAGTACGTTATTGGGAAAGGTTTTTTTTTTTTTTTTTTTTTTTGAGACAGAGTCTCACTCTGTTGCCCTGGCTAGAGTGAGTGCCGTGGCGTCATCCTAGCTCACAGCAACCTCAAACTCCTGGGCTCAAGCAATCCTTCTGCCTCAGCCTCCCGAGTAGCTGGGACTACAGGCATGCGCCACCATGCCCGGCTAATTTTTTCTATATATTTTTAGTTGTCCAATTAATTTCTTTCTATTTCTAGTAGAGTCAGGGTCTCGCTCTTGCTCAGGCTGGTCTCGAGCTCCTGAGCTCAAACAATCTGCCCACCTCGGCCTCCCAGAGAGCTAGGATTACAGGCGTGAGCCACCGTGCCTGGCCAGGGAAAGGTTTTAGGTTGTGTATTTAAGTTACATAAGAAAGCACTTTTGGGCCGGGTGCAGTGGCTCACGCCTGTAATCCTAGCACTCTGGGAGGCCGAGGCGGGCAGATTGTTTGAGCTCAGGAGTTCGAGACCAGCCTGAGCAAGAGCGAGACCCCGTCTCTACTAAAAATACAAAGAAATTAGGTGGACAACTAAAAATATATAGAAAAAAAAAATTAGCTGGGCATGGTGGCACGAGCCTGTAGTCCCAGCTACTCGGGAAGCTGAGGCAGGAGGATCGCTTGAGCCCAGGAGTTTGAGGTTGCTGTGAGCTAGGCTGATGCCACAGCACTCTAGCTGGGGCAATGGAGTGAGACTCTGTCTCAAAAAAAAAAAAAAAGAAAGCACTTTTGGAGGAACTACTAATATACCCAAATGGATAATTACAATTGAGTTTTATTTCTATAGTAAGTCATATTGGATTGAACATCATCTGTGGCTTCATGTACTTAGCATATCTTTAGACTCATATCTTTTAAAATATTTAGTAATTCGGATTTGTTAATATTTCAGGTTATCTTTCTAATCAGCTGGAATTGATAAAGCTTTACCATGTATAAAGACAAGTGACATAGCAGAATAGGAAAAAAATCTCTGGACCAGAAGCCTAACTTTTAGACAGATGCCAACATTCTAGCCGATTGTATAATTTTGGCCAGATTACTTAATTTCTCTGTGCTTCTGATTTAATTTTCACAAAGGCAAAATTGAACTGAAAATTGAAATTATTTAAACTTTCTTGGGATAGTAGTGTTTGCTGACTGCCACATGCATATGGAGCTTTTGATTCTAATTATAATAATAATGATAATAGTAATTGTTATTTAATTATTAGTAAAAACAACCACTTGCATGTTATAGAGTTTCACCCTTCTGAAAGATTCAGTTTAACAAACATGAAGTGCTGGGTACTCTTAATGCTCTGTACATCAGAAAACATAAAGGGCAAAAGACTGCTACTGGAAAGGAGACAATTCAGCTGGGAAGGCAAGAATAAGATATTATATATGATGGTCTTATGCATATATTATGTTACATAAGTACACTTTGGAGACCCAAAGTCTCCATACAAAGGAAAAATTTTGTAAAATTTTGTAATGAATATTTTGTAAATAAAGGTACATTTGGCTAAAATTTCCTGTTTTCCTTATGTATGGTGACTTTTGGGACACCCTGTTTGTCCCAGCTGTGGTCTATACTCTGTATAAAGACTGCAGCTCTGCCTCTTCACCCCAACAGTACAAAACAAAACAACCCAGAAAGACCTTTCTTTTTAGGACAAACTAGCCTTGATAGAGCTTACCCTTCACTTTGATAGAAAGAACTTACTGTCCCTGGCCTTGCCAGATCCAGGTTTTCCCCAGGAATGGATCTCTAATATTAAATGATGTCAAGACTGGGAAATCACTCTAATTATTTTTTCATTTGTCACTACCATCTTTGACATAGAAATCAAGTGCATCAACTAAATTTTAATCTTCAGAGGAATCAGAAAGTACAAATTTTGATTTGTTTATTGGTAATAGCCAGTTTTGCAAAATTTTCTATTCAAAAACACATTGAATAAAATCTGACCTATGAATACTTCAAGTTTTAGATTTTTGTCATTTTGCCTTTTTTTCATTCACTTCTATATTTTTGAGGACTTTTATTTTTATTTATTTATTTAATTTTTTTGAGACAGGGTTTTGCTCTGTCACCCAGGCTGGAGTGCAGTGGCATGGTCATAGCTCACTGCAACCTTGAACTCCTGGGCTCAAGGGATCCTACTGCCTCAGCCTCCTGAGTAGCTGGGACTACAGGCATACCCCTACCATACCCAGCCAATTTTTAAATGTTTTTAGAGACAGGGTCTCGCTATGTTGTCCTGACTGGTCTCTAACTCCTGGCCTCAAGGGGTCCTCCCACCGCAGCCTCCCAAAATGTTAGGATTACAGGCATGAGCCACTTGTGCCCAGCCCTATTTTTGAGGATTTTAAATGGCTCTAATTTTGCTTTAAATATGTCTTAAGAGTTTTTGATATTGAGCAAATAATTCCATTTAGTTTTTCCAAGACTATATTCAGTGGAGACCCAAGAGAATCTTAAGTGGTCTCAGTGGGAAGCTAGCCGAAGGATGATTTTTTATATAGGGAATATTGTGATTAGAGCTAGACTGATCGTTTCACTCTCCTACCCAAAAACTTCAGTAATTTCCTTTTCCTGTGAAATTAAATGAGGACTCTTTACCCCGACATTCAGGTCCTTCCTTCATATGATTCTAGCTTATTTTTCCATCCTTGCTTATACCCCAAAACTCTAGGGAGTATATATTTGCTTTCCCCTGATACATACTCTGTTTTCTGTCTTCTGGATCTTTTCTCTTGCATTTTCGTTTCATAGAAATGCCACCCAGCTTATCTGTTGAAAGGCTATTCCTCTTTCTGTGTCCAGTTCAAAAGCTGTTGCATTCATGGAACTTTTAGGGATTTACTTATTTCTCCACTCCCATCATCCACTCTGCTTCCCCACTTTGTAACTTTTACAGAACTTATTTCATTCTCTCACATTATGTCTTTTTTGTGTTTATGTTTTTCTAACAGGTTGTTAAGTTTGTTGAGTATAGGAAATATGTCTTATTCATTTTAAAATCTCCTATAGTACCTTGCACATCACAAGTGTTTGAAACATATTTGTGAAATTGAATTTGAATGGAGGAAGAAAGAGCTGACTCTAGAAGCAGATATTATCATGTTATTATTTTTTCAGAATGGAAATAAAATGGGTACAATGTTTAATTTATTACAGTTTGTTATGGTATATTTAATCCAATAATGCAAATTGTTGGAAAACAATTTGATATAGCAGTTATACTAAAGATTATAAAGCAAAAAGTGAAAAATTACTTGTCATCCCATAACCTAGAAATAACTCCTGTAAACATTTTGGTAAATATCCTTCCAGACTTCTTTTCTAAGCACATGTAAATATACACTATATATTGTTTCTCTTTTCAGAAAATGCAGGCTATTGTACATACTGTTTTGTAGCCTGTTTTTAGTTAACTATAAGTCATGGATGTCTTTCCATGTAAATAAAGAATTCACATCATTATTTAGTGGTCTCCTAGTATTCTTGACTGTAGAATTTATTTAATAAATCTCCTGTTGATATTTTGCTATCTTAAAACACCATTGTGATGAAATCCACCTGTCTCATTAGTTCCTTAGAATAAATTACTAGAAGTGGAATGACTAGGTCAAAGGGAGTGTCCTCTTAAACATTTTTGTATTTATTGCTCAGTTGCCCTCCAGAAAGTTTGTATGTAATTATACTCCTACCAGTCATACACGAGAATACTAAACTAGTTTTCTCACACCTTGCCAACCCTGGGTATTATCATTCTTTTAATTTTTTTAGGTAAATTTTTTAAGATGTCACTTCAGGGTTTTCATTTATGCATGCTTTGTACCATCTTAGGGATCCATAGTGCTATAGGCTTATTTTTATCAAAGGTGAAAAATGAGAGGTAAATGTTTTCCTATCTTGTGGCTCTAGGTTCTGTGGGAGTAGAAGAAATGTAGGGATTGGATAGCTTTTATCTAACTAATTAACTATTTATTTGTAATAACATAATTTGTTTTTTAATAAATTGGCATATATTATAAAACTAAAGTTTTTTCTTAAAAGATTAATAGTATTTAATACAAATAAAATCTATCTTGTTGAACACTTACTGCTTGTTAGCGCTAATATACTAGGTGCTTTTAATGGCTTATCATAAACTATATAGTAGACAGAGCAATCTTTATTTTATAGATGAGGAAACCACGGCTCAGAAAAATGAAGCAACTAACCTATGGTGACAATGATAGCTAAGTAATAGAGCTGGAATTTTACTTGGTACTGAATTGATTATGAAGAGAGGCTTAAATAGAAATTACAATTATTTATCTCCTGTTGAATCTATTGGTATCAAGCTTTTTCTTTTTTCCTAGAGTCGAGAAGAGAATATATTATATAAAATTTGATAATGGGTTAGTGCTGTTAAAGATTCTCCACTGAATATTTTGTACAGCAGGGGTCTCTAAGGAATGATAACCTATGAAATTGGAATGCCTCTCTATAAATTATAATTCTTCAATTCTCTCTCAAAAGCCAACGGTTAGGAAGTATAGCCTAGGCTGGGTGCGGTGGCTCACGCATGTAATCCTAGCACTTTGGGAGGCCAAGGTGGGAGGATCGCTTTAGGTCAGGAGGTTGAGACTAGCCTGAGCAAGAGCGAGACCCTGTCTCTACTGAAAATAGAAAAAATTAGCTGGGCTTGGTGATGGACCTGTAGTCCCAACTACTGGGGAGGCTGAGGCAGGAGGCTCACTTGAGCCCAGGAGTTTGAGGTTGCAGTGAGGTATGATGACACCACTGCACTCTGGGCCGGGCAACAGAGTGAGTGTCTCAAAAAGTAAAAAAATAAAATAAAAAGGAAGTGTAGCCTATTGTATGAGAGTAACAAAGTATTTAAGGAATGCAGGGTGCCCTGAGCCATATAGTGCCTTACATGCCTACGTATACTACTCTCACTTTGTTAATCATTTAATCATGAGATGATTAGCCATTTTTTCTTTACCTGCTTTACCATGGCATTGGGAATTTTTTAAAAAAGATGGTCACTTACTCTTACAGAGCTTATTGTATGAAGCAGAAGACAAAGAAGCTGTAGTTCAGTGTGATTCGTTGCTATCCATTAAAAGACTCTCATATTGAATAATGAGTGTATTCACTTACTATATTGTATGTAAAAGGCATATCTAAAAGACACTTCAAATGTAAATTGAAAGACTCTAAAAAGGAACTCCAAAGTAAAATGAAGATACATGAATGGTTATAGACAAGATGGAAAAAACTAACTCTAGGGTAATTTGGAAGCCTTTTCAGAGAAAGTGACATTTTTAAATGACTCTGATGTGCCAATAAGTATTTTTTTATAGGCAGAGAATGCAGATAGGGAATTTTAGGCAAAGGGAGTAGCATTTCAAAAGAATGGAAGTTTTGAAAAACTGTGGTACATGTGGAAAGTAGAAAGTAGGTTGGTTGTACTAGAGCTCAGTGAGTTCCATGTGTGGAAAGTGAGGGAGAAAAGCTAGGAAGGAAGGCTGGGTCTAGTTTGTGAAGGTCATTCTATCAGACTGAGGTGTTTAGACTTTATCCTGAAGTCACCAGAAGTTAAGCAAGGGAATGATAGGATTCTGTCTGTGTTCTGGGAAGATAATTCTTGGTAGTAAGGAGGGTATTAGAAGAAATCCTAGAGAGAGCAAGACCTATAAATAGAATATTGTAATGGTCTCAGCAGAAGATGATGAGAATCTAAGGTAAGGCAATGACAATGATATAACTAGAAAGAGTTAGATCTGAGAGACATTTGAGGAGTAGAGTGGAACAGAGTGAAAATAGCATGGAGATTAATGCTCTTAAGAACCAGCTTTAGCCATTTATTAACTCTATAATCCTAGGCAAATTAACTACTCTGAACCTCAGTTTGCCATCTATAAAAGACAGATAATAATCCCTGCTTTTAATGGGATTGATATAAACAGTAAATGAAATAAAATATTTAGAAGTGTTGAGGAACCCAAAACCTCTCTCTATACAAATGTCATTATGATTAGAAATAAGGGAAAGAAAAGAGTCATAGATGGCATTGAGGTTTCTAGATGGGATGGTGGTGGGGCTTAGAGAAGAGAAATAGGGAGTTTGATTTTGGATATATTGAGTTTGAGCTACATTTCAGTTTGGGATCTCTAGGAGGCAGTTGGAAACAAATTGGAATTCAGAGAGAAGTGACCTAAGAGAGAGAGATTTGAAACTATAGCTTGAGTATATTCTATGGGAACCCCAAATGGACACTCTTGTCTCCCTTGTCTCCCTGCCAGTGTCCTGCACGTCTCTCAGACTCAGAGAATGAAGAACCTTCTCGAGGCCAGATGACACAGACACATCGCTCGGCATTTGTTTCCAAGAACAGCTCCTACTCCTTAGCGTTCCTGGCAGGGTAAGAGACTGACACTGAATTCAGTCCGGGGTCTTTCATTTCTAGGTATGAGCAAAAGGGACTTGGGGAGCAAAGGTATTTGTTGTAGCTACTTTGGGGGATGTGGAAGGGGAGAAAAGAAAGTAGGAACTGGTTTTCAAATATGAATTAGGGAGAAAGGGCTGATGCGAATTTTTAAAGAAAAGTAACATTTACCCATTCTCAGGGGAAGATCGTGCTAATTGCTCTGCTGCAAAGTGTGAACCTTTCATCCTGGGGGAGGAAACTAGAAAGTCATCTTTAGTCCAACAATATCCATGGACTCTCCCTCTGGCCTTTAAAACTAGGAAGTAAGGCCAGAGTTGATTTTCTTTTCAGTGCCTAGCCCTAGACCAATATACATCTTCATAGGTGTCAGGAGGGCAAACTGAAAAGTCTAGAAGACCCTTGACTAGGAATCCCTTGACTTTGTAGGCCCTGGAGAGGAAAGGGGAAGAATTGGATGGATGGTGGGTGCTTGAGGGATGATGAAGGGCTAGATGGGAGGAAGGAAGGATGAATAGATAGGAAGGAAGGGAAGAGAAGAAGAAATGGAGAAAGGAAGGAAGAAATCGGTCATTCATTCAACAGATATTTTGTGAACAGCTGCTACTTGCCATGTTCTGTTTTAGTATAGAGATGCAAAGATACAATCTTTACCCCAGTTCATTGTCTTTTTGTTTAAAGCTGGCATTCCTCACCCTTATCCCTGGGGTCAGCTCCTTCCCACCAGCACTATGTAGTAGATCTCTCTTTTTTGCTGTCCCTATGAACACTCACTAGGACCCGTACTATCTTCAGGCTTTTATTGCTAGTCACTCATAAATATGACAAAAAGAAGCCACGAAAATTTAAGAATTTTATAAAACGCTCACTATTGTGACCCCTGATATAGTTTCTACTTTGGAATCCTTTTTGTATATGTTCTTTTGGAGTAGTCTGATCTTCCTCTGTTATTTCTGAGAGTAAAATTCACTAAATCTCCCATTCCTTTGAATGCCTTCCCTTCCATAGGTAATAGCAGCTCTTTCTCCAAGAAGGCCCCTCCCAGAATATTTATTCACTCATTTGACATTTGTTGAATGGCCAATGTATCATAGCCACTTAGGCTTGGTTGATGTAATCAGGACCCAGTAAGTAAGCCAGTATCCTTTCCATTTATGATGAAGATGGGACTCTTGCATTGTGTGTATGAACTTGAACTATAGATTCTTTTAAAGTTAAAATATTAAAGATTGCTGCCAGTGGTGCATGCCTGTAGTCCCAGCCATTTGGGAGGCTGAGGCAGGAGAATTGCTTGAGCCCAGGAGTTCAAGGCCAGCCTGGACAATGTAGCAAGACCCCATCTCTAAAAAAAAAAAAAAAATCAAGATTGCTTGACTAAGAATTGTTGGCTCCAGATTTTGTGTATGGATTTCTCCCTATTTATAGTAGACATATCTTAATGATTATAAGAGGACTCTACTGAAAAGAGAAAAAGATCAAATTATTCATTCCAATGAAGCCACAATAAATACTCCCTGAAGCTAATATGTTGCTTTATGAATTCTATGATTAATTAATATTTCATAATTTAAAATAATTTAGAAAGAAATTTATATTAAAATCCAAATATGGTACCAAGGGAAAATTGTTCCAATTAATTGGAGTAGTTATTGAACAGGTGAATTACTTATTACCGATTCTAGTCTCTACCCTTATGCCCTTGTAATTCATTCTTTTAAAAAGGAGGTAGTAGGTTAATATGCCATTAGTTAGAAATGCCTGGCAAGGAAATATAGAAAATTCTTTTCTAATAGGCAAAATTGTAAAGCCTATACAGGAGTGTGCTTTTGATTATAAATGGCTTTTGGACATCTGTTATATATCTTCTCTCCCTGCTCCTGGTCCATATGTATATCTTACCCTATGTCATTGGGACTAACTAATAGGAGAAATTTCACTTAAGATTTTACTATTAAGAAACACTTGCAATCAATATTATACATTTCTAGATTTCAGGGCTCATTTTCTTCCAAACATCCAAGGTTGTGTGCTGAGTTCAATTATTAGAATAGTTATTAAAACAATTAATTGGATTTAATTGGTAGGGTTATCTTTTTAGGAAATAGTTTGTTGATGTCGTGGAAACCTTAGGTTGGAAAATCAATTATGGTAATGTAATGAATTGTGTCCCTTATTTAGAACATGCCTTTTCTTAGATAAGAAAATTATTAAGTTTCAGTTCCACATTATATTTAGGAAAATAATATAGACTTGTTAGTGCTGATAATGAGATGTAGCATATGGATATATTAAAAAAAGACGTAGCATAGTGATGGTTGCACAACAGTGTAACTGTTTGCTTAAAAATGGTTAAAATGGTACATTTTATGTATATTTTACCATCATAAAAATTTAGCATTGTTTATAATTTTTGGATATTTCTAATGTGCTTTTTCTATCTATTAAGCAACAACAAAAGAATAGATTTCTCTGCAAGTCTTTTCCTGAAGAGAGTACATATTAAAAACTTTTAAAGGTTTTACAACTGTATTTGAATCAAATGAATCCGCCATTTGTTTTTCTTATCTACTTTATAAACTTTTCTTTCTTAAGCACAAAAGCATGGAGGTAAGGGTAAATAGGCATGACTGATGGGATGATTATTTTGGAAGGAATGCATCAGTAGATTTTGGCTGTGTGTCTTGCCAGTAGGTCAGCCTATTTTCATTTGAAAAATTCAAAGTGAAGAAGGCTTTGCAGCCATATTAATGAAGTTCTATAACCCTTTGAAAATGAAATTTCTAAATAGCATAATAGTTAACCCAAGATCATTTTGAAGTAAATCACAAAACATGTTAATTAAAAATAACCATTTGAACCATAAGTAGGATATAGAATTGTAAAGTTAAGCTTTGATTTTAAGTATCTGGAAACCAGTTTAATTAATCAACTAATTAATTATTTTAAAAAATTTATTTCCCTTCATTCCTCATTTTCCTCTTCTCCACCAGAATCAAACTAAAAACATGGTTGCAAATTCTTCTTATATTTCAGCCTGGAAAAACTTTCTCTTGAGCTAGTAGTGCCTTTTCTTTTTCCTAAGAGCTCCATGTCCAGTTGCATTTTCCTTTTTGCTTCGGCTGTCAGGAAGTTCAGGATTAGGACAAAGTTTTCAATTCAGTCACCATGGCTTTCCAACATGGCCTATAGTTTTTTAAAAATAAAAAACTATGCTATGCCCTCTTGCATTTTATTACTTAATATAGGCTTTGTTCTCCATTAAGGCTTAATCTTTATGTATTGTTACTGTAAATCACTTCAAATTCTTCTTTGAAATACAGTATAACCGTATAAAGAAATATAATCAAACCGATCATCTTCTTTCCAGTTTAAAAAAAAGAAAGGGATGCCATTCTGTACAAAAATCGTATCTTAAGTAAATGGTGCCTAGCACGATTTCTGCAACACGATAAGCCTTTAGTGACTAATATTGCTGCTGCTGCTGTTATTTTATTATCTTCTTTTGGAGCATGGACTCTTAGAGCTGAAAGGAACCTTAGATATCATCTTATTCAACCCTTTTGTTTTATGGATGGGAAGACTAAAGCCCAGAGAGAGAGCATGGCTTGCCAAATTTTATACTGCTAGAACAGTGGACAACTGAGTTAGAACTGACGTTCGTTGGCTCTCAGTTTAGTTTATTGCTCGTTCCGCTATACTCCATACCTTCTTATAGATCCTCGCGCTGCCTCTGCTCGTCTTCCCCACTAGACTTTAAACTCCTTAAAAGCAGGGATAGCATCTTGTTCACTATTTTAATTGGAATACTTAGTACAGTGCCTGGCACATAGTAGGGGCTCAGTAAATATTTGTGGAATGTTTGATAGGCTTTGTGCTTGTGGGTAGGATAAACTGGGGCTTTGTCAGAATCGATAGTCAAACTTACAGCTTAGGGCCTCTAGGAAGGAGGGCTCCTGGAGTTTTGGAGGGACAGATTGGCTGATGGCTGTTTTTTAAGTTAGATTTCATAGGATGAATAGGGGACTTAGGGGGAGGTCTAGCAACCACATTGATAAAGCTTTTATACTATGAATTTGCATGTAGGCTTCTAATATATTTAGCAATAGCTTGTGATGATACTTTTCATAGATATTGTAAAAGAAAGATTTGTGTCCTCCTGAGTAGAAATTAGCCATAACTACATCATTTTGTTTTCTAATGTCCAGATACTTTTAAGCCTGAATTTGTGGTAGGCACATAAGAGACCTGACGTCGCTGTGCTTTCTATAAGGTGTATGTGTAAGAAGAGATACAGAGACTTAGTGTTAGATTCAGTGATATTAAACACATGCCCAGTGAGTGTTGGAGTGAATGAAAATATACAGACCCTCTAGAAATTGGTTCCTCTTGCTTAAAATGCACAAATTAAATGCAGAAGCTTTCAAGTAACAGAAACTAAGGGGATACATAAGTGATGTGATATTGGAGGACCAGCTTCAGGATTGCTGAAAGGAAGCAAATCCAGAGAGGTAAGGTGTGGTGTTTTAGGGAAGAAGTAGCAGTGTGACCTTGAGTAAGCAGTTGACCTTCTGTTTGATCTGTGTAAAATGCAGGTTGTTATGCCCTACCTGCTAGCTAGCCAGAGGGGCCTGCTCAAGATTTTTTAAGATTCTTCCCACCTGTAAACTTGAAATATCTAGACTTTTGAAGGGTGGAGGAATTGAGGCCAGGGAATGAAAAGAAAAGGGTAGGGGTAGTTAGGAAGTTCCATAAAAATCTAAAGATTAGACTTAGCAAATTGTGTGTGGGGAATAGTCAAACAATGACCTGAGGAGATTATCAGAGAAAGATGCAGCAGTGAGAGCAGTGAGTTAAAAGAAATGTCAAGACTTGATAATGGCCTGGGGCAAGGTAGAAGTGTGTGTGTGTGTGTGTGTGTGTGTGTGTGTGTGTGTGTGTGTGTATGTGTGTGTTGGGAGAGGGATAAAGGAATTGGA